AACAGTAGGAGTCCATCAGACATATGTTTATATAATTCATCTAATCCTGAGTATAATCTAATAAACACGATTTGAAAAAGTTCTGAGAAGTTTTGAAAATTTGTCTATAAATATAATTTATTTTATAGAACGAACTGTATCCTTTTCAAAATCGCGTGTTAATATTCATATATTTCAACAGACTATGATTTTTCGTCTGCTTTACATAAATAGACTACCCGGATTAGGGTTAAGTTGCATCTTGAGATTTCAAATGCCCCGCCGTAATCTTCTAGTACTCCACCATACGACAGATGGCACTGACGCAGGTCTCATAGGCTCACCGATACAGCTGTCGCGCGGGATTTTCGCGTGTGTGTAATAGAAGCGTGTTCAAGCATGTTCAGTGCGAGATTCGTTCGTTTCTGTCGCGTTATTATTTCACATTTTACTTCGTTTAATTGCTGCGTGTTTATATTGAATTATTGCTGTGTGCCTATCTATTTCGTTTCTTCTATTCTAACGTTACATTTCTTCGGCGAAGTTAGTGTCATATCGTCATCTTAATACTATTTGCAATTAGATACCGTACATTCCTTGGTTATTTCCAAGCAAATTCTAAAAGTGCCTATACAGAGTGCTTTCAGAAGTGCAAAAAGGATCACTTTAATTTAGAATAACGTTTTATTAGCAAAGTTTTATGAAACTAGTTCAGCTATTTGTTTGATCAAATCTCGTGTTATATTTACTTACGTAACAGTGTGTATTCTGTATCGACGCAATTTGGAGAAAGTGAAATAACGAAATGAAACGCTGAAAGCTTCCACTGTAAGTTGAAATTTTGACATTCTGTTTAAGATTCGTGTATTTCTGTAGACTGATTCGCTCCTTGATCGTTGGATAATTGTTACTGTCGCTTAAATAAGATGCTACTTTTGCACAGCTATAGAAATAATATTTTTGTCTGGCAAACGGATTAATACGAAATTCGTTCAAATTTAACACACTTCTATACAAATTAAATGAAGGTGTTCTACCGGATACCTTTATTTTGGGTAAAATTGCAGTTCGTGTTATATTTTACGCGTATTATAATCTTCCGGAAGAAAAATGGCGGGAAATGTCGTTTTATATTTATTTTATGGTACCGTTAAAAATATCACATTTTCCGAATTTTAAGCGTGTCGCTTAATTTTTCAAAGGGTTTCCAGAGAACCAGCCGTAACAACGTATAATTATCAAATTAATACGTAGTTTACCGAGAAATTTATTATTGCATAAATTTACCATAAATTTCCAACGCTTATTTTCAATGTACGCATATATTACTCGATAACAAATTACTCGTATATATGATAATATTTATAACAGAATTAATAAACGTGAAAATGTTAAGCCGTATTTCCAACAAAAAGAACTATATATACGTATAATAATGGTGCGAATGGAACGAAAAGAAATTCGTTGAAATCTATCAGGTAATTTCAGTTAATAGAAGGCAATTACTTTTGTAGGTACAAGGGTGACCACGTGATAAATTACAGTCAAAGAGGTGGCATCAGCGTAATTACTGAAAAGCAAACGCGAACGTCGCGTCTCTTGATATCCAGGGCGTTGCCTGCTGATTCTGGAAATTACACGTGCGCCCCGTCCGGGGCCAACTCAACCAGTGTCCTAGTCCACGTACTCAATGGTGGGTGAGTCAGAATAAAGAAATTTTTTAGGAGATATTATGTCAATTTCACGTGTTTGCAAATTTCTCGAAAATAACCTAGAATTTATTTACAGTGTTAAGTGTAGAAATGAATTCTTACCGATTAGATTCACGTAATTGATTCAAGGCCACCGAGTTTCTGTGGCGAATTTATTAATAACGGAAATTATTTCGACGATTAAAATTAATTATTATCTATTTTATTATTATTTTTGTTAACACAGCTTCCCGCGCTTCTTGTTGGTTGGAAGGTCGGATTGGCGTTGGTAATTATTGCACGTGTATGTGCCAACTACTTATTGCCGCGATGGTGATCGCGCTTTATTTGTGATGTCGATTATTGCGGACTGGACCGCACTGGTGTATTAAGAATGTCGAGTATCGCGTGTTAGAGCGCTCAAAGTGGTGTCGATTGTTTCTAAGTATATTAGAATCTGCCCGAATGTCGTGAACTGGCTGTATATATCTCTATTCGCCAAAATGGGGAGTTTACCTTGTTGGCAAATCATGGGCCTTTCGCCCCTTAGAGCCGCTCTCCTGGGCCCTCGTGCACTCCCCCGTGGTCCGCAGAGTAGGGCGGTGGCAGAGAGGGAGAGACGGTCCCAAACGGGGGTGTCAGCCCCGCGTGGCGATTTTGCCGAAACGTCGACTTTGCGGGTTTATGGCATGTTTACCGTTACTGAGCGCGCAGAGGCAAGTACCGGCTTACCATGTGGCCCGCAGAAGTGGAGAATTTCCGCGGCCATCAGGTAATAAGCCGGATTAATTTTATTATCTGTTTTCAGTCTTCCTAGATGAATCTTCGATAGTACCCAAAAGTCGGAAAGAATTCACTTCTATATTTGATAGATTGTATGTGTATAGTCGCTGGAAGAAATATAAATTCGCTCAGGCGTCAAAATTTAGGGGAAGCTTGTCGAATTTGGAGCACTTTTTTAATCAATACTGACACAGGAATATTTAAAAAAAAAAGTGGAGGAGGAATGTTGCTATCTACAGCTTCAAAATTATGTAATTTATTTTTCCAGAAATGCAATTTAGAATGGTAAAAAGGTAATAAATTAAAATTGCGTTATCAGTCCAATCAAAGCAACTGGTTTCCTAAGATGGACCACTTTTTTAATCTATATTGATACAGGAATATTTTTAAAAAATGTGGAGGAAAGAATATAATTATTTGTAGCTTCAAAATTATGTAATTTATTTTTTCAGAAATACAATTCAGAACGGTCGAAAGTTAATAGATTAAAATTTCTGATGGACAAAATTGGACCGCTGGCTTAATATAGGTAGACGCCGACAAAACCCTGAGAATATAAAGGCTAGAATTCACACTCAGGGTCGCATGAAGTGTGCCTTAGCTTTGATTCAGTCCCAATCAAAAAACGTAAAATGCATCAATCTGTTACTATTACTTAATGCCTTAATTTACAACCTCGCTATATTTCTTTCATCGACTGTACAAACACTACCAGTGAAAAGTTTGGAATCACTGCAATTAACACAAAGATCTTCAGAAACAAATTAGCAACTTTAAGATATGTTTTATCATTCAAGTCAATCGATCTGATCACCACAACATCAATTTTGAAATCTACAAAGAATCAGTAGCAAACTTTTGGCCGGTAGAGTACATTAATTTCGTCTAATTAATTCGAAGAATTTCTTCCACTGTGATTGCATGATTATTCAGGATATGTTTTAATATTGAATTACGGAGTAGAGATTTTAATTGTGCGATAACGGTCAAGTGAGCACAATTAAGAATCAACTTGGCAGCTGTAATTTATTTTACAATACAATACAGATCGACTATGGATAACGCGTGACACGCTATTAAATACAGAACAATGAAATGGAAATTGATAAAAAGAAACTTTGCATAACTTGATAAGATTTTCCTTGAGAAATGATTCATATTTAACGCTTTCTTGCGTACTCGATACCTTTAACCCTTTGAGTGTTCAGTTCATAATATTCACTTTGCAAGAGTTTCAGATAGCATACAACATTGTAAGTTTAAAATGATTAAAAATGAGATAAGAAGAAATGAACGCATATTTCCACATTATGCACAAGTAATTTACCACTTGTGTCAATAATCAGGTACCCTTTCGCACATTTTCTCACTTAAAATATCTGATCTTCCCGGTAAAAGATTTGAATTTCCCGCCAGATCGTTATTTCGCACACTTCCTATCCCTGTTTGCTCCAAGTTTCGAATTTTCTTCTCAGAAAGCTACTACAATTATACGATAAAGTACCCGACAATTCTGAATTATCGACGCAAGGATTATGTCATAAAAACAATTTCCACTTTCTTGCCACATTTTAGTGAGCACTCAAAGGGTAAAACAAGACACCTGGTTCCAGTAAGTGTTTTATGGATGGAGAAACTCTGTGTTCCTGCAGTCTATATACATACCTTGTTTCTATTCACTTCAAAATGATTGACGTATCCTAAAGGCACGACGTAAAGCATAGGTACAGCCAGCTCACGCTGAGACCGCTCGTCCTTTGGGTCTAACTCCCTCGTCAAAGTGTCGTACCACCGTACGATCGACTTGGTCCTTCCAGGGTGCCTGTGGACCAGGCAAGACTGTCCAGGGATGATAAATAAGCTGATTTGCCCATCACTGGCCATTCCTATGGAACTCGCATAAATCTAGATGTACATGTAGGGATTTTAGGCGAACAACTGGGTTTTTACTCGGTGTTTTAAGGGGCTATTCGCTTTTCCCGGAGTTCAAATATTTTATCTGGCCGCTGTTATCATTGTGCAATACACTGTCGAAAATATTTCACTAATAAACAAGTAGATATAAATTATTAAAATGTTTCTTTAAAGGGGTGTTCGCTTTTCGCGACCGTAAAAATAGGCAATCTTTGTGATTTTTTTTTTAGTAGAAAAAGATACTGTATGACTTCGATCTTTTTACAGTGTGTTTATGAAGTTTCATATTTTATGTACGCAAAATTTGGTTAGAAAGAAATCAGTATATTTGAAGTAATGGCGATTTTGATAGAATGCCTGCAAAATGACGGTGAGCATGATTTCGTCCTTCAGGTTCACATAGAATGAAAAATGAAATTACCTTTATATTCAGAAACGTTTTTTTTATTATCCGCACTAGAATCATTGGTACTAGATTACATAAAAAAATGCGACAACGCGGTAAACACAAAAGTTACATTTTTGCGACTTTTCTAGACTTCAACCTAACAAAAGAATTGTAAATAAAAAATCAGAAGGCAGACAGTCCTCCGTAAACTGTAATCAGAGCAATAATTGTGTTCTCTGTCATTCAACTACAATTATTTAAACGGCACACCTACCGTCAAATAAGCAATACAAAATGTCCCGTAAATTATTATTATTTCAAATGCAGGCGATTGAAAAGGTAAAACGGAGGAAAGGAAATCTTACAAATATAGTACTCGAATAAAATACTGAACGAGATAAATTTCCTTAGCAGTTAGCCATATTAATTAACCAATTTGTCAGAACGCGCGATGTTATTGTTGTCATGGATAAACAATTACTCGAAATTGAGAAATGAACGTACAACCGTTCTGGGCCATACACACCGCAGAAATGGAGGATACAATTTTCAGATGTAGGTATAGGAAGGAAAAACATCACATCGATTTTATTCTAACGAATTCGTTAGTCACTCTTGCAGTAATTTGCATATTTGCATGCTGAAAAATGGTGGTCATTTGGAACGTTTGCTGTGTATAGTTTTACGTCACAAGCAGCGCCAATCTTTCGTAGGTTTTTATTTTATTCGGTACTCGTTTCGAATGCTATATTTATACGATTTCATTTTCCACGTTCCACATTCGCAATAATTTCCATGGTACGAGCTACAGCAAGTAGTAACAGAACGTGTGCGTACACACGTCGAAAGTTGCAAATATATTTAGGACTTCTAACAGAAACTGTTTGCTGTAATGAAGCAGCTTTTTAGACACGATATAGAGTACTGCGAGGTAAATTAACCGTTTTAGAAATATTTTCGAATATTTACCTTCGTGAAATGAAAAGTCTAATCTAATCTAATTAGAAGATTTTCTAATTTAAAAGAAAAATCTAGTGTTTCTATGTGAGATGTTCATTTACAATGCAATGCAGTGTATTTTGTGCCCTTTTTCTTAAAAATGTACTTGCTGGGAAAGAAACTGGAATGGAAAGGGAGTTCAGAATTAATTTTAAATGCAAACTAGTATGTAAACAAAATTTCAAATAGGAAAATTACGTTGAAAATATGGGGAAAAAAGTAATATGGATTTTTTGAAAATTTCGAACAGAGTGACTGCTTCAGTTGTTAGTATAAAATATTTTTAACAGTTTTTAAATGATTTCTAATAATTTCTTTTACTACCGAGCATTTCGGTATTTTTAATTGTAAAGCTCGGTAACTGCTGTAGATATTTCTGCAAATAGACGTCGGAAAATAACGGAGAAAAATCGCGACAGTTTAAGCTCAGCTGATCGTCTTCCCTCCAGGGATTCAATTCAGTATCCCCTTCGCGTTTCAGTCTTTATCGTGAACATTATTACTGTGTTCTCAAATTTCTCGCAATATCTTATGTAAGCACAGGATTTTACTCACTCCTCCACATAAAAGGGATATACTTGAAAATATTTTGTTAGAGATAGAAAAAAATAACGATTCTCGATCGTTGCTTTAAACTGAACAAATTTTGTAACAATTCGAACATTCGAAATTATTAAGTTATATATTTTATGTAATTAAATCATACTACCTACGAAATTAAATGTAATTACAAAAATAACGCACATTGTACCGCTATTTTTTCCTATTTACTTTCATAGCAAACCTGTTACTTTTTCCTACACTTTTATTCCGAAGGTGTTGCTGTTATTTTTCTTGTACATTTAGTGAAAATTTCTGCGTTCTTTCGTAATAGTACACGCGAAAGCGAGGAGGAAACAGGTCTGTCCGAAACGCCTG